CGAACGGTTGTGCGGCAAATGCAATTCCGCGATGCTCACTACACTTTTGTATACTACAACACCACTCAGTATGAAAGCGGATTGAAAAAAAAACCTCAATAGGGGAAAAAAATAGTACTGACAACGGAGTGCAAGCTACACTAGACCGAAACAGTTGAACGTTCGATGCGGAATGAAAAGAAGCGTTATGTGTTACATATTTTACAAAAATATTAAAAAACCAATTTCGTGTTTTTCGCCTTTTTGAAAAAGCACTCAAACCATCACTTATGAAATGTATTTCCGATACAGCCATCACAAATTCAATGTTGTATTCTTATTGCTTATTAAGTTTTCTGATTATATACTCATTCAAAGTTTCATATTTAAAGAACTAAATTGTTTGAGTTTCACCCATTTTTTTTCTACATTCATCGAGCATTATCAAAATACTAAAGTTCGGTCACATAACTAAAAAAATAGTGCAAATACTTTAATTTTTGTTAAACATATTACTAACGAATTAACTATTGGATCCTCAGTACTTGTTTTAAAAATATTTATTATTTATAAATATTTAAACATATTTAGAATATACTTTAAAAAACTATCAATTTTACCCCGTTTTGCGGTACTAATATACCGCAGTATAAAAATGCATTATTCACCAACATAAAAAATATGTTTTTTTTTTCGAAATAAACCACAATACGTCAAGAGCATATCATACACAAACAATTGGTGCATTAGAAAGGAACCGTAAACGTTTCAATGAATACTTAAGAATCTTTTCTAATGAACACAAAAATGATTGGGATGAATGAATAAATTATTATTGTCCCCGGATATAATAACTCCAAATTTGTCAACAAATTATACACCATTCGAGTTAGATTTTGGAAGAACTGAAAAAATACAGAAAGAAATGCTAGAAACGAATATAAAACCAATTTATAACATAGATGATTATAATTAAGAATTACAATGCAGATTAAAAATTTCTTATACAGCAAAGTATTATTTGGAGAAAAACAAACTAAGTTAATCACAATACAAAATCAAAAAATTGTGAAACAAATATCAATTCAATTAGAAGACAGAGTAGATTTAGTAAATGAAAATAGAAGAAAATTAGATGCAATATTCAGGACCATACATAATAAAAAAAATATTGTAAACCCAAATGTTACAATACAACATACAATAACAAAACAAGTACAAACCGTTCATAAAAATAGAATAGTTCAAATCTAAAGAAAAGGTTCTCGGGTCATAGTATGATATAACATCATTCTCCCAAAAGGGGAAGGTGTTGTGATAAAACATAACAAAATTTAATTTTCCTACTCAGCATGAATCGTGCGTATTGATCAATATCATACTGACCTAGTACAGCATGTGTTGAATCAATACCACGCACGTTTGAATATTTGTAAACTAATTGGGCACATCGCAGTTTCGCGGCGCATCGTTTTTTTGTCACTCAAGCAAATTTCGGCCTAAGGTATAAAAGTCCTCCGAAAAAACTCAATAAAGTCAGTCTCTACTCAGTACTTACCAATTAGCAACGGTCGTGAACCAGTTATTATATTCACTAAGATATCACATCCGTGGAAGGTGATATGAGTACTGATTGCAACTAAGTGATGACAGGAGAGATTCCGCAAGTAAAACATAGTGAATCCCAATGGTTGGGATAAAACATACTGGATCCCAATGGTTGGGATAAAACATCGGTTAGAAGAGAAGACACCATCAACGTACCAACATTTATTGGAAGTAGCAAACCGTGCACTACATAATGAAGTCGGCATTGAAATCCCAAAAATCGCCAAACTACATCGAAAAAGTAAACATTCGTGGTACAACCAATCTGTTAGGGTCGATTGGTCAATAAAGGAAATCGTCAAAAAGGCCAGGGCGCCAGAAAGGCCCGAACCACTTAAACACACGGTATATCAACCATATAAAATTTTACACTGATGGGTCCAAACGCAACAACCAGGTTGGTATAGGAGTAATTGGAAACAAAATCAGTCTCGAAAATAGTCTGTCACATCAGTGTAGTGTCTTTTCTGCTGAAGCATTTGCTTTAACCACAGCTGTTCGCTTCGCAACAAACTCTGCCCTAGAAAATGATCTTCTAAACATCTATATATACAAACAGTTGAGCAAGAAGTTGCTGATAAAAACATAACATTTTGCTGGGTGCCAGGGCATTCTGGAATACCTGGAAACGAAGCTGCCGATCGAGCTGCTGACCGCGGAAGAACAGCCACCCCAATAAAAACTGCAACGGACATCATCAATTGGATCAAAACGATATTCTTTCAAAAATTCCAAACTCTCCGGGATTCTCATCGTCCTCCCAACGTCTGTCAAAAAGTGGATCGACAGAGAAAATCAGTTCGAACAACGCGTCTTAATCAGATGCAGAATTAACCAAAAATCATTTGTATGACAAAACGTATCAAAAAACTTGTAACGCAGAACAGAATTAACATATTGTTGAATTGTGTTAAATATGATAATCTTAGATAAGAAATATTAATTAATAACGATCTCCATATTACTTAAGGAAACAAAAAAAAAGTGAAGAACTGAATGTTTTGAAATTCCTCAACAAATGTAAACTTCATGATAAGCTTCTTCATTCCTTTATTTAACGTCGGTCTCTGTTCCGCAATCTAGTGCCAATCACCGACGGACATCGATTACCATCTATTGACGGTAATCCAATGTGCAGGAAGGCGCCTTCCACATCTGCGTAGGATATCGCACCCATTGAACACACATGGGCCGGGTCCAAGGGCTTTACTTCTCTTCCGCAGTAACGCTTACCACTACACCACCGGCGCCGGCATTTCATGATAAGCTGTAATATTTAATTTTTTAAGAGGCGAATGAACATATGGCTTAAAAACTATCTAATAAAAAATTAACTTCATACGTACCCAAAAAGCACAAAGCTGTTCTTGTGCTGTCCAGTAATCTTCAAATTCTTGACATACACACTTTGTAATAACTACTTTTACACGAATCGTAATCCATATCGGACGTAAATCATAGGACGTAAACAATCATTTCATGTAAAATTAAGTGTTCTCAAACCGAAACATAAGCAAGTCGGCGAAGAGAACGTTAGATTGAATTAATTTTCTCGTCTGTTTCAACTGATTCTTATGTCAAAAGGGCCGCTTACATGTGTCGGTCTCAGGGAATCGAAATTTACATGACTTTTTTGTAAAGTGTATCTTCCACTGAAAAACATATACCATATATTACATTACAATGCTTCAAAAGCAGGAGTTGACACTTTAGATCAGGTCACAAGATATACGTTAGAGATGAACCAGTCCAAGGCTGAAAATCTCTCTAATAAAGCACGTCACGTCACTGACACGTCATGTGCCAGAATCACGTATCGTTGGCCTGTACGATTGTTTTGGGACATATTGATATTGCTCTGTATAATCGAACATAGTTCTTTGAAACGAGGGTGACGCGCTTGGCATAGATAGCCCACAGCGACTCACGACGAGCAACTGAATCCAAATCTGATAGTGGTGTGGTTTCTTCCTCCTTCTTCGATGAATGGACGCTCATGTAGGCTGCAGCTCGCTGCTTGCGAGCATCCGCACTGGAGAACAATGTCCAACGCCACGCGCCGAAAGCACTGCTGCTGCTACTGCTGATGACGATCGACCGGACACCGGTCGAATTTGAAATCTGTGTTAGGGGAAGCGCTATTTGCAGGCAATCGGTGATAATTTTGATCACCACAGTTGGACATTTGTGTAATTTTCAATAGTGACCTATTGAAAATAGATAAAGTGTTCAGTTGAGCAGATTCGTAGAAAAATTTCCAATTCCACCCCCAATATGTTGCGAAAGACCTAATCTACGTCAAAAATGCCAACTCATCACAGCGTAACCACTTAACAATCGAAGTAAGGGAGTTCATATTGGGAAACAAAAGGGAATGTGAGATAAGCTAACAACGCACAATTGCAGCAGCAGAATATTGCGTTTGTAAATATCTAATTCAATTGTATTAAATTCTCACCATGGAACTTAGAACTAATATAATTCGTTCACCGTTCCAGAACAATAGGGTTACCCCATTTCCAGTCTATTAAGCACAACCACATTTAGTCTTTCTTAATCTTGCGTAGTTTAGCACCAACCGGCATGTTATTACTGATGGCTTTTAAATTTATTTACCTTTCCGTACGTACCGTAAGATTTGATAAAGAAAAACAAATTGTTGACATATTGTTAAAAGTCTAACACTCCGTCTGGACGCCAAACTCGGCCTACGGATTCAGCATTGGAACGCTAATGAATTCACTTCGACCTATCGGATGAAGTTAAAAATTGATTCGGTCGGAGTACTTCATTTGTTTTTGAGAATATTGGGTGCAAACTTTCATATCACGCGTTCTTATTGACTTCGTTCGGTAGTATTTGAACTAAAGTATCTTACCAAAAGCAGAGTTTACCTGTTAACACCGAAATCATGGATTTATTTGATGTTTTCTGCTTGATAGGCCCTTAATGGGTGGTTAGGCCGAAGTAGTTCTCTACCCTATGTCTGTAAAAAGTTTATTTAAATTGTATTTAATAGTACTTGTAATTAAAATGTTTTTTTTTTATGTTTCTATCAGGTATGTTTTGTTTAAATTATGTATGTTAATATTGGGCGTAATTAGAGAGACATTTTTAATACCTTCAAGGGGTGTGCATTGTATTCAAAAGTTCTTGGGCCTGCCCGCTCCACAAGCAAATATAGGCACCAAATACTTCTAACGTACCATAACTATAGGAGCGTTTACCCTATATGAATATTGTTTAATTTTCTATACTTTTAATCAAGAGGAAATGAAAAATAGTTTTTTTTTTTCTTCTTTCTTTTATTATTTGATTTTTGTTTTTTATTAAAGATGGACATTACTGCAGTAAATCAACTTTCTCATCATAGAAATAATCTCTTCGCTAAATGGTAAGTACTAAAATACTAGTAAATGGCTGAAAAACTAGAAATACTTAATCACATAATGTTTAATTAATAATGTTAATGATTTTCACAAAGCAATTATAAATTATTTTTAGTTTTGATATAAGGTCACATATACTTTTATACTTAATGCAAATTGTTCAATGACACCCACAACTTTTAACGACCATATTTTTGTACTTTTTTAAATTTACATTAGTTTCATCTATGTGGTAAAGCACCGAAATTGGAATCAGCTTCGTAGGAGCGCAGCACGGTTTGGGTACCTGGAAAAAAAATGTTTATTTAAATTCAATTAATAAATCATGAATTATTCATTGCATATTCTAAAAAAAACGAAAATGATTAGAAAGAGTATCCCAGGTATGATATTTAGGAGGAATAATATAAATATTAATTCAATCACTAAGTTTGAACCATCTGCCTTACATTGATCCGACATCGTATGTTTGTGATAATTTTTCTGGGTTTCTTCGATGCTCCACTGCCGTATATCAATTGATAGTGAGTAACTCAATTGACAGTGACGATGAGGTTAATTTGAGAAAGTGGCCCTTCAAATGATGGGCATGAGAAAATTCGTTGCGCAAAATTGATTGTTCACTTTCAATCTAATGATATGAAAATTGCCAGCACTGCTTCTCACCAACAAAGCAGTACTTTTCATTTTAGTAATACTAGAATTAATTGTTATGGCATTCCAACAAAATTCTTGCCAATATTTTTTTATTTTCCTGCATTAGTTTTCACTTCATTTACTTTTTATTTATTTTGTTGTAAATTAATTTATTTGTACAGGTTCAATCGAATAAACTTTACAGAACCAAGCTATCATTTGAGTTAAACATCATTTTTTTTTGGTATCAAGCTGGAGCTGCGTGACAGCTTAATTTTCAAGACTTGAACCATTTGAATAAATTTTGCTTCTATCTTTGACAATGCAGCAAAAGGACTAGCCTATGTTGGCCGCTTGAACACTGGATTCCGTATGTATTGTTTCAAGATAGTTATAGAAAAAATGCTGTGACGTGTGCGCGTAGATACATCCGCGTAGTAAACCGATTGAATAAGTAAATCCGTTTCGAACGAAATATCTAAATTATGCAAGTTACGAAAACCGCGCGAATTCCGAGAGCCGTGCGAGACAACCGAAGCGAGAAAAAAAAGGCTTATTATCATTTAAAGAGTGCCACCAAAATAATTGTGATAGTCTATGTTGGCAAGTTGATTAATTTTGGTTTCCTCCCTAAATATTCTACTTATTTTACTGTTGAGCTTTGTTTCAATTTAGTTATTTTACCGCACGTATCAATCATTTCAAGATTTTGCGACCGCACCGAACGAACTCTACACTACAGAAGCTCAAAAAAAAACTTTTGTCGAGCTCTACCGCATTGCGAATCACTTCTGCGTAAGCTCCGTAGACGTAGGCGCGTTGTTTCCGACAGCCGCGAAAAGTTAAACATGCATCAATACCACATAAGGAAAGATCGATTTTACGTATGGTTTAGTTCATAGATTAACATTGACTGCTGTTTACAAATGTAAGTACTTGAACACTAAGAAATAAGTTAACTCAAATGCTTTAACCGCATATATAAGAGATTTCGCGTATTGAGAGAATAATATAGTAATAGAGTACAACAAACTCAGGGGAATACAATACCTCCAAAAGTTTAAAAGTTATTAATTGTCACATACCTCTACTTTTACTTATTTCCTAAACTATTCCTCTCCTTGTTAATCTGCTAAATGCTATTGGTCTGCCTGCGTTTTCTTTTTAAATTTCAAGACTAAATAAGAAGATTTATTCTACAACTTTAAAGGTTAGTTGCCTCCCTAAGCGGACCCCCCGCATCCTAATTCTTTTGTTAATCTACTTAATGTCATTAGACTTTCTGAAGTTTCTTATTTAAGTTCATTTGATGATTATGATATCTCATTAGTCTAATTTAATAAAATATTAAAAGCTCTAATTCACCTAATCAATCATAACCCATGCTTTATTAAGTACCTGCACTTGTGCTTGTAATCTAAAATTAAACGTGTTTCAAGTACTTTTGATTTTGACCTTTACCTATTTATTATATCTTAGTTCGACCCAGGTAACACCTTCATGTGACTAAAATGCTTCATTTTGAAGTTAGTTTCCTAGCTGATTTTTAAATTATATAGGGTATATGCTCCAATTACGCTCTCACGTTTACACTATGTCGGACCACAAAAATACATATGGGTATGTCACAATAGAAGCACACCACAGTGGAAATCTCGAGCCATAGTTCAAACACTTATCCCAAATCAAAATGAAGCACATATAAGATTAGTTACAATACCATGTACAAAAATGATGTTTAACTTTGTTTCTAATAAGTAATACTTCAATGAAAACAACAATGAAAGTTTGTCACGAAAATAGAAGGAGCACCGTTGGGCACTTTCTGAAATATTTCAATAGTATAATTCCCTTGCAAACCCAAATAAATCTATCTGCGTAAAAATAAATAAAATAAGAGTGATTTGCGGCAAAACCCGCCAGTATCACACCCAACGTCAGTGCCTATACGTAAGCGTACTACGACGCGGCTCTCAATTAAAGGAGTAACAAGTGTGATACTATCACTGCTAGACTAGATCTTTGGTTCTCTCATGCAGTGGTTTATCAGAGAGGGGAAGCCTAGTAATCCCCATTGCCTGCCCATGACGCCATTCTATCGCAGCATGAGCCAGCAACGCTGGCCATAAACCTACCGTCTCCAACACTCCACTATAAAGCATGAAATTAAGCCCGCCCACCAACAGCAAGGTGCAAAAACTAGCCAAGGGGAGGGCATTTGAGTTAAACATCATTTAAGTCTTAAATCTAGAGTTAAAGGAATTGAATTGAACCGAATACTCGCGGTCATCTCGAAGTTAGTGGATGGGAAGAGGGAGAAGGAGGACTTTATTTTGATATTATGGTAGGTTTTCTTAATTGGTTAGAAGTTGCAAAGCTAATATATTTGAGATTTGTATTATTTGAAAAAAAGTAAAACTTTGTAATATAAATAATAGAAAGAAATTGTTCAGCGATAAACTGTATTAGGTGAAGTAAACAGGATTTTTTTTTCAAATAATTTTCAATTATTCTTTTTTAATTGATATTTGGCATTACAATTCTTCTTTTTCATATTTTTTTTAGCGAATTGCATTTGCAGGAGACGGGTTTTTTTTTTATCTTACGCATTTATTTTTGCGGATTTTGAGATTTACGTAGTTCTTTATTATTATTGTTATTAAAGTGAAGAATTGAAAGGTTTGTTTTTGTTCTTTTTTAAAATGTTTTTTTGTTTTTTTCAAGGATTTTTATTTAAGCACGGTAACGTTTGCGTTAGCGTTTGTTATGATATACTTCGTAGATTGGATATTAGCGACACTCACGACTATTTTGAAATTCTCAGTAAGACTACTTTCAGGAATAATGCTGGGGAGTTAACATTGATTCCAATCTGAACAAGATTTCCATTAGCATGATTGCCACTATTCCCGGCCACGCCCAACTTTACCATTACTAGGCATAGAGAAGGAAATGTTGATGTATTGCTTACTTAACGAGAGGCCACCGACTTAGCGACACCCTCATAAGTGCTACGGAGTTGGAGGTTCGGGTAGGGTATTGGGTTAGGATTCGCCTAAAGTTGGCGATGTAATCAAAATTATGTATTGTGTATGTGTTGCTCATTTAATCTCTCGATAGCCGACTGTCCAAAGAAAATATTCATTTTGTTCATGTATGTTTATGCATTTTAAGAGCCATCACGGAGAGCTTGCTAAACCCATGACTTTCTGCTCAGTAAGCAAAATCGATCCCTCCAGGGTCATCGAGCATCTCAGAACCATAACGCTCCGCGACAAAACATGACTACTTTTTTGATTGGTATGTAACGTACGACTGAAATACGCGATAATGCAAATAGTTTCCGAGGTTGATAGTTAATATCAAATATAAAAATGACGATGGCGATATATTGTGCTGTGGAAGAGCTTGGGGTTTAATCCATGATTTTCTGTAAGCAAAAACGATCCCTCCAGGGTCATCGAGCATCTCACAATCCACAGCGCTTCGCATCAAAGTACGTATCCTCAATGTGTAATGTAATGAGTAGGAATGTTTTGACGTGACACTCGCTTTGACGCCGAAAACACTTCCGCACTTCCACGAGGAATCACTGGTATATTGGGTAAGAGGGTTGGGATTTTAGCAGGGTTCGTTTTGGTAAACGATAAACTGGATTGATGTCCTAACGATCATATTACGCGAAGGAGTTTTGGATTGAACCCACTATCTTCTGCTCAGTAGGAAAAAACGTTTGCCACTAGGTAAACGAGCTCCTTTTTAATCATCGAGTTATAATTACCATATAGTCATATTAACAAATAAAGCGATTGACGAATCTTGAATGTGGATGGACCTGAGATTAGACTCATGATACTCTGCTTAGTAAGCAAAAACGATCGCTCTAAAGCCACCGAGCCCCTCATATCACATCATACCTTTACTCGAGTTGTTGTATCAATTCAAACCCGGCACCGATGGCGAGAAGTTTCGCAAAATAGACGATAAACATGTGATTTGACAATAAAGCTCCTCAATATGAAAAGACCTGGGAACGCGTTTTTCTGCTCAGTAAGCAGTATACTGTAACCGAAGAACTTTAAAATCCGAAAACTAAAAGCTACGAAAAAGCACTTAGTTCCACTTTCACGCGACGTTCAATGCTTCGATTAGCTCTTTACGCATTGTTCAGGCTATCGTTCCTCTTAACATCATAACAAACTATGACCGACGTAACGATTGTTAAGGCCCTGATCAAACAAGATATTAAAATGAATATAGGTTCTCGAAAGCAGTCAACAATGTATTCCAAACTGGATCAAGTGTGCACTCTATTTTTCTAAACATTCCGCCCGATCTCGGGTTTTTAGTTAGGCACTGTACACAAATTACGTAACGCAAAAAATCAGATTTCGGACCCCCTCCCCTGTAACAATAAGTAACGCTTTACAAGATTCCCCACTAAAATGACGTAACGCTAACTCACTTGAACGTTGATTTTTTTTTCAAAATCAAATCACAGTTTAAAAAGATTTTCTTATGTTATTAATGCAAAGGTCACCTGACTTTATTTAACAACATGGGTAGTTGGGCTCACTGGTGACCGCCGAAAATGATACCAGCAGAGAAATTCAAAGACGGATTAACTATGACAAGGAATCAGGACGCTGA